TCATCATCATCATCGTTTTTAGCTTAGTACTACTAAGTTTAATGAACAAATGAAATCGATTGTATGTAGGAAATTCACATTGAAGGAGCAATACAAAAAGATTTGATTCGTATCCTTACATTTTGGTGACAATTTGTGAGATTCAACTTTGATCATTCGTGCTACTAAGCACGGAATTATATAGAAACAGAGCGACAATAAACATAAAGACCGGGCGATACTAAAACTGCAAGAATGTAAAACACGCAATGAGCCCACGATGACACGTCCCCATCGGTAACGACACAGCCCATTTATCAATCGTTATATGCCCTATGTGAATATCAATCCTCCAAAAGCATACACAACAATTTAAAACTGAAGTAATAAATCATAGTTCTTTTTATTTCAACGACTTGGATCAATATGAATTGTGCCTGTGCAGTAACATCCGGGGAATCGTCATATTGCTGAATCATCAATTTTGCATTTGCCCTCATTCTCAGTCGTCAACAATGTTGTCCGGAGTCATTCATCGGCTAATACGTATTCGACAATGAATGAGCATTCCTGCATTCGATAAGCCGTTTATCGGGGGATTATGGTCTAAGCCATTCTCAGAACAACATAGTTATCAATGCTTGACTACTAATCACGTGTACGACCCTTCATTGTGAGTGTAGCTACACTTGAAGTGAACAGTAGAGATACTTCCGGTGTTGAAGTTCTTGATAATATCTACCATCCCCACGCCGTGTTAAATGGTGCCCGACAGAAATACATCGTAGATTAGATTATGTGTTGAAGTACAATGTGCGGCTAACTGACTTGTTATCATAGACGGCATTCATACCTCTTTCTCGCGTGATATTCTTAAACTAATCAAGATGCTCACTTACACTAACATTACATTACACTAACGCTTTTTTTTGCGCGAGACATTCTTGGAAGATTGTCCCATTAATTATTAAATAATGCCCGCCCTCCATCTAAACACAAAATGAACAATCCTGTCAGTTATAGAGGCTGTGACTGTGACTTTCACATGTGTATATTAGCCAAAACAAAATTGCGATGATACACGACGCACCGCTCCTAAAACGGTTCGAACCTGCAGATCCAAGCTAGAGTGCCAGCATCATGTCCATTCATCTGGTCGGTTTTCGAACCTTGCCACGTTCAAAATATAGTCATGAATATTGATCATTTTATTATGCAGTGTGACGTCCACCTGTGGTATAATTAGCATGTAAAGCCCAAAACACGTGTCCACATTTATACAAACAAAATCAGTAAAACGTGATTGGCCAGTACAAACTCCAATTCCAGGTGTGGTTGAAGTACTGTAAATCAGATAGTGCATTCGTTAAAGTATATTCATATTCACTGAGGCCTGCTGTCAAATGTCGGTCAAATATGTGAATGAATGTGCACTCTAGACATAATTGAATGAAAGTTAATATTAATTGCATAATCAAATTTAAACACATAGACTTATTGTACCCGCTGATTTTAATGACTAGGATGCGTCACAGCAGATCAGCAGTAAACATATATTTGCAAAATATACACTTAAAATCATGTCCAGAATTAAGCAATTTATCCTATATTAATGTGTCGGATATATTCATAGCAATTGGGCAAATGTCTCGCGGCGATATGAAAGTCTGTGGGATTTTACCCTCCCCGCTTCAAACATGCTTTACCATTCGTATCACATAGACAACTGACACACAAGAAAACTGCGAAATATGAAAAAAACATAATTGTAATGGTTGTTTACTACGAGTATCGGATAATATTAGTGTTTAGACTTATGGGCAATTCAGTCCTATGCACAACCAATGTTATTATAATCACCATGACCATCCCGTTGTTTATTAAAAATTATGAAATAATCATATAACGGTATTGTCGCAAAATGTAATTCTACTTTGAAGTTCAGTAAAACACGTTTAGGCCCCTGCTATCCACGTCGCCAATAATATTGATGGTGTATGTGTTAATAATCTTGAAATTTACGATAAACAGCGCTTAATTTCATCACAATTTAATAAACTTCATACGATCCATATATTATACTGATACTTTTTTATATGATTGTTAACTCCCAGGTAGCCGCTGATCAACAGAAGCATTTACCTGCAACATTGAAGCTTCTGCTCATGCGTGGGAACGATAGAAATATAACAACATCGTGTGCACACCTTCATATCCCTCCGATCGCACGTAGCTACGCTGTCGAGGAAATTTTTGTCAATCTTTAACGATTTCCTGTAACCACACAACAACGTTACAATCACGGGATAATCAGTCCCGCGCTTGGAAGGATGGAGAACTGCACGATGAACACAACAAACTTCACCCTGTCAGAAGATTTCTACACGGTCCCGCGACTACCGTGGTCCATTCTCATCACGACCACTGTTATATATGTACTAATTTTCTTCGCCGGGATCATTGGAAATGCACTAGTTGCTTTCGTGGTATGGAAGAACCATGACATGAAGAGTTCTACAAATTATTTCCTCGTCAATCTGAGCATTGCCGATCTTCTAGTTCTCATCATATGTATGCCCATGGCGCTTTTGGAAACCTATGTGATTAGCCCTTGGTTGTTGGGGGAAGCAATGTGTAAGTACAATTCAGAATATGTTTTCACGATTGATTCCGATTGTTATGTGGCGGGACTTTTGAAGTCAATATTACTTTCTTGACTAGTGTTCCATGACCGACATATATGTTGTCCATTGGACAAAATACGTGATACGATTATCGTCAATTTGCAACTATTCATACCAGAACCAGAAAGTCGTTGTGCCGGTTAAAGTCACATGAATACGGGCGTCTTCGCGCGTGTTTTTTCCCAGATTGTAATAAGTATAGTGTACATCATGTCTATATAAAGGTACTTTCAAATCAGTGTT